ATACGTGTACTGTCGTGACTGTTTGTGTGTGTTATCGTGACTGTATACGTGTGTTATCGTGACTGCATACGAGTACTGTCGTGACTGTTTCTTTGTGCTATCGTGACTGTGCTTTTGCTACCAAATACATAATCCTAAGAGTTTTTATAAAGATGAGTTTCATTTTATGTTGAAATGTCCAGGTTATTCGAATTTGTGTGTTAAATTTTTGAAAAAATTACCAAGTAAAAAAAACAAGTATGTTTAAAATGATAAAATTATTTAATGTAAATAACACAAAAGAACTTGCCAATTTGGCCAAATATATAAAAGCGGCAAATGTAAAAAGAAACCAATTAATTTAATTTGTTACACTCTCCATACTGTTTGTACATGTACATTGCATGTATTGTATTGTCTGTTAATATATATATAATATATATGTCACTTTTGAAACCGATGGGTCAAAAGACCCATGGTAATAAAGAACTCGAACTTGAACTTGTTACCACCCCGCGAACTGTGGCTACTGTCTCTGTGTGCTTAAGTTACTGCCCCCGCGAGCTGTGGCTACTAGCTCCGTGTGCTTTAAGCCGTGGTCCCAACCCGTCGTACTTGCAAGTGCGTGCTGTCTACTTGCAAAAACTGGGCAAAATTTGGGGATCCGTACGTGGTGAGTACCGCCTCAGTGCGGATTTAGGAGCACGCAGACACGCCGTAGCACTTTAAGTGCATGAGGAACTTTCGCTGCGCTCGGGATACGGTCGGGCTACGGATTCACCCCAGTACGAGTGACAATGAACGCACAACGCACGGACTCCGTGAGTCTTTTAATTTTTTCCCACTGTCACTTGCTCTACGGACGGCGCACTTAGCACGTGCGTGCTGAGCACGTGAAAAGTGCGTGGTCTGTGCTTACCCGGCACTTTCCCAGTTCTACTGTCCAATGAGCACGCAGAACTGACGTGGACCGTACCGATAAAGCACGTGCTCCGCACTTACAACGCACGTTGAGTGCACTGATTTCTGCAGTATATATAAAAGCCGAGCGGACGGACGAGTGCCAACATTTCGTCTCCAATATGCCTAATAAGAGGACACAGAAGAAGGGGTCGTTCTATATATCTATATATTGGGCGGAAAAACTCACGTTCATCGCACTTCCACGCACTTACAACATGCGAGTGAGTAAGGACACCGTACGTGAGCAGCACGTGTAAGTACGGCCTCCGTAGGATAACGTAGCAATCGCACGGAGATCGTACGTTGTAAGTAAGTTGTAAGCACGTACAACTGACTTACCACGTGTGCAACGTACGATGCAGGCAACCGCTCACGGCCAGGCGTGGCGTGCGGGCCACGTACTTACACCTTGCGCAACCGTGCGAGTGACGTGCGTTGACGTACTCTCTCTCTCTGCTCTTGCCACTCCCTCCCCACGTTTTCAGTAAACGTGGCGGCCGTGGCCTCCCCAAAAAACGTACGGACTAAAAACACGCACGGTGGGTTGTGACCGGGCCTTAAATTACATGTACTACCCCACGAGCTGTGGCTACTGTCTCCGTGTGCTTAAGTTACAGGTACTACCTCACGAGCTGTGGCTACTGTCTCCGTGTGCTTAAGTTACATGTACTACTCAACGAGCTATGGCTACTGTCTCCGTGTGCTTAAGTTACTGCCCCCGCGAGCAGTGGCTACTGTCTCCGTGTGCTTAAGTTACATATACTACATGTACCCCACGAGCTGTGGCTACTGTCTCCGTGTGATTAAGTTACATGTACTACCCCACGAGCTGTGGTTACTAGCTCCGTGTGCTTAAGTTACCGCCCCCGCGAGGTGTGGCTTCTGTCTCCGTGTGCTTAAGTGACCGCCCCCGCGAGCTTTGGTTACTGTCTCCGTACTGTCCTTCGTGCTGTAGTTTATAAACCGCATTATCTAGTTTTTCATACGATTTTGTTTTTTATACATTTAACATTACATGTTAAGAGTAAAGCAATTGAACAAAAAAAATAGTTATTAAGCACCTTGATCAAGTAAGTGAAAAGCAGGTGGACACACATAACACAGTATAGGAAGCCAATTTAACACTTAGCCCGACATACTCTATTGTCACTTTTATCATATTGGCGCATCTATTAGACCTAAGTAAGTACCATTACTTCCGACTGAAGAAGGACGTTGATAGTATCAGTACAAAGCAGGTGGTACTGAATATTTAATATAAACTTTATTTATTTAACAACAATTATGAAACAAGTAATATACAACTTATATTAATCACTCTTGTTGGCCCGGATGTTAGCGTGTGGGGGTCTTAGTGTGGGAGGAAACCGGAGTACCCGGAGAAAACCCACGTACTCGGGCAGGTGACCCCAACCTTTTCACATCCGATCGGGGGATCGAACCCCGGCCGCCTTTGTGAAACGCAAGTTCGCTATCCACTGCACCACCCGACCACCCATAACTGGTACTGAATGTTTAACGCTCCTAACGTACACCGTACCTGCGTAGGTGAAATATTAATGCTGTGGAAACAGGATGGTTATCATAATGTGTTCTAATACCGATACATCTAATACAAACGCTGTAGTTTAAAAGCTTTAGAATGACATATACAACCTAACCGTAATACATGATAAGTTATCTATTATAATTTTATGATATTCAAGGTGTTTGCAAAAGTCTATCAATGATACACATATACTGAATATATATACAGGTAAGTCTATATAATATGCCTGATTATTTTGCGCAATCGCATTGGTCGGACCACATACACGTGGCCAGTTCTCAAAACTCATATTAACCGTTCTAAACATAGCCTATAGAGGGATCCTCGACAACAGCTGTTTGACCAACACATTTTAAAATGTATTACATGCTTGGATATCTTTAAACATAACACATGTGGAATGATAACATTGTACATCACTTCATCGGACTGAAGAAATGAAAATCTGTGATACAATATGACAGAAACCGTTGCATCGAAACTTTTTAATTAACAAAATCTAATTATAAAATGTTTAGCATAGAACAAAACAGTTATAGACTTTTATGATCTGAATATGATGAGGTTAATATCACATCGTATTCACCTTCACAAATAACCATGACTGAATTTATTCGAGGTCACGCTTTTTTCCTACACCTCCATTGGCTGTTTCATAAACACATGGAGGTCAGTATTTTGCGATATTGAATCGATCTTACTTTTTTTTTTAGAAACAACAGATACATGTTATTTTTATGATGTCATTTCAAATGTGACTTCACAGTGCTTTCTGCCAAATTCAGTACTTTCCTCCGTTCTGTTTCTTACGTTCTATCTGTTTTTATTTATTAAAATCTTACATAGCGACTAATGTAACAATTAAAGACTTTTGTTTCGGTGAATATGTGGTCATATGAACATAAACAAGTGATAGTGATCGAGACGCAAACTTACAACGTCTACCATTAAACATATTTACCAAATTTACAAGGGAAGTCCATCATTGATAGACATACACAAACTATACCACGGAAGCCTATCATTGATAAAAATATACCAAATATACCATAGAAGTCTATCATTGATAAAAATATACCAAATGCAAATGTACCACAGACGTCTAACGAAAAATATATCAAATAAACTATGCAAGTCTATCATTATCACGGAAATCTATAATTAATAAACATATACCAAATATTCCACAAAAGTCTGTCATTAGTAAGAAATATACCAGATATACCATTGATCCTATCACTAATAAAAAAATATTCCATTTACCATTGAAGTCTAACATTAACAGACATATACCAAATTTATCGCGTACGTCTTTCCTGTATAAATGTATAGCAAATGATTTTTATATACAATATTTATAACTAACTGTACATATACCAAATAGGCATAACACAAAAATATCACAGATTATACCATTGATAAACAAGAATACAACTACATTTGAATGTTACATATCCCATTTTAGTGTCGCCTTTACCATATACATGTATAAAAATGTGTGTGTGTGTGTGTGTGTGTGTGTTGCATAATGTTTATTCTAAACAGACAATGAAATTTAACATAATAATGTTGGCGAATAAACAGACAATAGTCGAAACGAATTCAACTTTGAAGTCGCTCACACCACAGGAGATTTTATTTATATTTATAAAAGATTCTAGAATTTAGAATGAACCTTTTATTATACCTAGCACTTCGGAACTGATCCTTCTATGTTTTGCCACAGCACCAGTTACAAAATTTAAAATTCATTTACAAAGGCAATGTTTTTTTTCTAGAAACAGTGTCGTTAATTAAATATGCTCCAGTGACTTAACGTAACACATCCAACATGCAAGAACACATATTATGTCGAAACACTGTATTTTTCGAAATGCACGTATTCTTATCCCGACTATACGAGAGAAACATTATTCAATAAAACATTTTTTTTCTTTTCTTAAATCAGTTGTAAATAATTGCCGCACCAAAACATCTCTACTGTGTGAAAACAATGTGTGTGAATATTTCAGGATGGTTTGTTCTGTGTATTTAGTATAAGATCTTAGATGAGTAATATGACAATAGGGTATTTTGTGGGTTTTTTTTGTGATAAGTTAGGGATAATGACAATTTTATGAACATATTCGATACAGAACTAAAACCAGTGTCTCGAACATTTAGGTATTCTAATCGTCTGTCCATATTAATTTATTGGATTAGGATCCGTTATTTTCTTCGAAAGTTCTTTTCACTTAATTCTAGAACTGTTTCGAAGTTGAATGCTATCTCAACATTTCGTCTAAATACCAGTGCTTATTAGATGTCATAATTAGTATTTTCGTCAGAAAGAAAAGTTTCGCGGAGTTATGATAATACAATCCCACAGAACAAACATTATACAAAACTCGATCGATGACTTCAGTATTAAGGTTAATCGGAGTTTCTATATATTACCTAGTACGTGTTAATTACGAGCATTACCATCCCGACTAAAGATGGTACTAATTAGGATATATAGAGTACTCACCAGCACCAGGAGATACCCGTGGTTAGTAACCTCCATGCCGCGGTATCGTGTGTCTGCCACCACTTACGGCACGATATACCTGGTCCGTGTCGACACGCACCTGCGCCGGGGGCCAGCCAATCAGAAAGGAGTGCTGCGTTATAGAAACAGGACGCTGTAGAATCATTCTGGTTTTAGACTATTGTCACATCATTGATCGTAAAGTTAATGCATTATTCATCTTGAAAAGAAAAGTACTAGACTAATGATAATCAATGAGCTATTTCCCTATTAAAATGGGTGATAGGTAGCATGAAGATTTATGTAGATAAGTAGATTTGTATGGCGATATTTGGAGTAGAATATAAGTGTATTTACGTATACCTGTGACAATTCTAGAGTTGGTCACGCGTCGTCCCACAGTGCTGGGTTTGACAGTACAGGCAATATTGATCCTAAATCAATGGCTAAGGTCGTACATTACACGGGATAGGATGACGATAAGGAGGTAACCGTAATGTAACATTACGGTCACTGTTGCAATAACCTACTTTTTATAGGGATCTGCATGTACGTACATTGTACGTTAACGTGTCATTGATGACGCCCACGATCGCCAGACGTCATTTTTAATCCGATGGTAATGGACATATCTGTCTTTACAATTAAATAACATCTCGTTTACGAGTTTATGTTTCCATCATCTTCGATCAAACACTTACACTATTATAAACAATCAAAATCATAAGTAATAATCATCAACATCTACAGTATATAGCGCCCCGTATAATTTGTAAAATCATTCTAAGGCGCTTTACAATAAATGAATAATACTATTCCTACAGTGTCAGTTATAACAGATAAAAAGGCATACAAATCAGCATTATGAGCATTGGCATTACTTCAAAGACTTGCTTCCCTGCCGTTTACGATGTTGACAGATTGTTGAACATGCGTTGCTCCTTACGGTTAACCAAGGAGGATAATCTACTTTGGTTTGATATACTGTTTAGTGGTAGTTCACCTGTCCTCCTATAACGTTGTAGACATACCCGAGGGTTCATTGAGCCCTTAGGGTTATGCGCTGTGTAACATCAATCCAGACAGTTTAACATAGCGGCTACAGAGTACAACTCTATCAAAAAATCATATTCCACGGGGAATCCGACAAAAAAATCCAGGTAATTATAAAAATGTCAAATTAATTGTTTGTAGGGAATAAGAATAAAATCAGTTCGCGTGACATTTTGCTTTATATGTGCCTTGATATTGGACAAGTACTTTTATCTCGACCGATCGACTGTGAAAGAAGCAAATAATGCTAAAGCCATTTCAAATGTTAGTTTACGTATTAGAATATTAAAACGGCGGTGTTAGGTTTAATCATTATCCATGTATTCAATAAACTACAATAATTATAAAATTGACAAGAAGACTCTGTTGATTTAGTGTTGCGACATTTAGTCAAGATGGCCGCCGCGAACTGGCCTTTTGTTAGCTGAGACAGTTCTAACTTTTCGAAACAGAATAAGAATTAAGAGAGGTATTATTTGGCATAAGTAACTTCTTCTTAAGTAACTTTTTTTCGGACATCAGACTTGACTGCTTCGACCTCTGATTGACCGAGACATACATCGGAAAAACTTTTGAACTATAGGATGGATTATGTAATGAAAGTTGGATGGTATTGTAATGAAAGTTGGACGGTATTGTAATGAAAGTTGGCTGGTATTGTGATGAAAATTTAATGGTATTGTAATGAAACTTGGATGGTATTGTAATGAAAGTTGGACGTATTGTAATGAAAGTTGGACGTATTGTAATGAAAGTTGGACGGTATTGTGATGAAAGTTGGATGGGATTGTAATGAAAGTTTAATGGTATTGTAGTGAAAGTTGGATGGTATTGTTATGAAAGTTGGATGGTATTGTGATGAAAGTTGGATGGTATTGTAATGGAAGTTTAATGGTATTGTAATGAAAGTTGGATGGTATTGTAATGAAAGTTGGACGGTATGTAATGAAACTTGGATGGTATTGTAGTGAAAGTTGGATGGTATTGTAATGGAAGTGGGATGGTATTGTAATGAAAGTTGGATGGTATTGTAATGAAAGTTGGACGGTATGTAATGAAACTTGGATGGTATTGTAGTGAAAGTTGGATGGTATTGTAATGGAAGTGGGATGGTATTGTAATGAAAGTTGGATGGTATTGTAATGAAAGTTGGACGGTATGTAATGAAACTTGGATGGTATTGTAGTGAAAGTTGGATGGTATTGTAATGGAAGTGGGATGGTATTGTAATGAAAGTTGGATGGTATTGTAATGAAAGTTGGACGGTATTGTAATGAAAGTTGGCTGGTATTGTGATGAAAATTTAATGGTATTGTAATGAAACTTGGATGGTATTGTAATGAAAGTTGGACGTATTGTAATGAAAGTTGGACGTATTGTAATGAAAGTTGGACGTATTGTAATGAAAGTTGGACGGTATTGTGATGAAAGTTGGACGGTATTGTGATGAAAGTTGGATGGTATTGTAATGAAAGTTTAATGGTATTGTAGTGAAAGTTGGATGGTATTGTTATGAAAGTTGGATGGTATTGTTATGAAAGTTGGATGGTATTGTGATGAAAGTTGGATGGTATTGTAATGGAAGTTGGATGGTATTGTAATGAAAGTTGGATGGTATTGTAATGGAAGTTGGATGGTATTGTAATGGAAGTTGGATGGTATTGTAATGGAAGTTGGATGATATCGTAATGGAAGTTGGATGGTATTGTAATGGAAGTTGGATGGTATTGTAATGGAAGTTGGATGGTATTGTAATGGAAGTTGGATGGTATTGTAGTGAAAGTTGGATGGTATTGTTATGAAAGTTGGACGGTATTGTAATGAAAGTTGGATGGTATTGTAATGAAAGTTGGATGGTATTGTAATGCGCTCTGTGTGTGTGGAAGAAAACGAAATATCCACAAGATGGCCACATTGGACTTAGCTCTGATTGGACGTCGGGACTATTACAGTTCTATTTCGAGTTACATGACCAACTTTCCTATTCTTAATCGGAATAACACATTCAAATGTACAGGTAGGATGGATTTAGGATTCACGACGGAGACTATGGTCTATCATTAGCCCCAGAACTTGTTCATATATCTAATTGACTTTTATCTTTAACTGGTTTTTTTTATACACATCATTTCAAAATGATAGAATGGTTATCTAGTAGTTCCTTGTTACGATCCCAGCAAGGGAGATCTGTTGTATACATAATTTATATCGTAAATAGAAATTATATTGACGTGGTAGGTACACCTGTTGATAAACTGCAATGGTGGTGCGAAATGTAATGATATTTAAATTAAGCAGAACATGCTAAATCGATGACGTTTTTCAAATGGATGGTGAATTATGACTCCAGGAGAGTTCGTACAAAATGTTTCCGGGTCTGATCACAGGGGATCCTTTATGTGCAGTGTTTCTCTCTCGACACACAACACCGGGTTGTAATACAGGTTCGCTGGTGACACATGATTCAGGTATTACACACACATGCGATGCTGCTATACAACAATTATTTTTCCAACCTTGTCGATTCTATTACATATATATGTAAATACATTTTGACAAAGAATCATTGTGTCGCTGTAGGAGATCAAATTGTAAAAACTTACAATGTTCCTGTATGAGCTACATCTATATAGGGGCGCCAACTACTACCTTAAATGTTCCTGTACGGGCGCCAACTACTATCTTAAATGTTCCTTTAGGGGCGCCAACTACTCACTTAATTTTTCCTGTAGAGGCGCCATTTACTACCTTAAATGTTTCTGTAGGGACGCCAATTACTACCTTAAATGTTCCTGTATGGGGCGCCAACTACAACCTTGAATGGTTTTGTAGGGGCGTCAACTACTTTCTTAAATGTTTCTGTAAGGGCGCCAACTACTACCTTAAATGTTTCTGTAGGGGCGCCAACTACTACCTTAAACGTTTCTGGAAGGGCGCCAACTACTACCTTAAATGTTTCTGTAAGGGCGCCAACTACATGTACTACCTTAAATGTTTCTGTAGGGGCGCCAACTACTACCTTAAATGTTCCTGTAGGGGCGCCAACTTCTACCTTTAATGTTTCTGTAGGGGCGCCAACTACTACCTTAAATGTTCTTGTAGAGGTGCCAACTACTACCTTAAATGTTCATGTTGTTGCTATAGGGTTTCCAATGACCACATTGATGTTCCCAAAGAGGTACAAACTACTACCTTAAACATTCTTTTATGGTTCAAACTTCAATGTTACAACAAAGTCCAACTTATCATCTCGATTGAGCGATGTTCCTATAGGGGATTCCTCCTACTACCATCGAGGGCCCTATAGATGTTCATACTACAACCTTCCAGGTTCCTATAGATATTCCCACTGCAACCTTCGAGGTTCCTATTGGAGTTCCTACTACAACATTCGAGGTTCCTATTGGAGGTCCTACTGCAACCTTCGAGGTTCCTAGTGGAGTTCTTACTACAACATTCGAGGTACCTATTGGAGTTCCTACTACAATTTTCAAGGTTCCTATTCGAGTTCCTAATACAACATTCGAGGTTCCTATTCGGGTTCCTACTACAACATTCGAGTTTCCTATTGGAGTTCCTACTGCAACCTTCGAGGTTCTTATTGGAGTTCCTACTACAACATTAGAGGTTCCTATTGGAGTTCCTCCTACAACTTTCGAGGTTCCTATTGGAGGTCCTACTGCAACCTTCGAGGTTCTTATTGGAGTTCCTACTACAACATTAGAGGTTCCTATTGGAGTTCCTACTGCAACCTTCGAGGTTCTTATTGGAGTTCCTACTACAACCTTCGAGGTTCCTATTGGAGTTCCTACTGCAACCTTCGAGGTTCTTATTGGAGTTCCTACTACAACTTTCAAGGTTCCTCTTCGAGTTCCTACTACAACATTCGAGTTTCCTATTGGAGTTCCTACTGCAACCTTCGAGGTTCTTATTGGAGTTCCTACTACAACATTCGAGGCTCCTATTGGAGTTCCTACTACAACTTTCAAGTTTCCTATT